AAGTGCAAAGACGTCTAAAGTGGCAGTGTTATCATTGAAGTTGAATGGCAGTAACTCAGAGTTCTCAACTTGATGGTGGCAGTGATAGGTCTCCTGGTTTGATTTGCACCAACAGGTGACAAGAAGAAGGGAGCCACCAAAGATGGTCACTGCAACGCTACCAGTGTGGTTAGAAGAAAGAGAGAAAGAGGGAGACCAACACTTACTAATCTCACCTTCTCTTTTAAATGTCGATGTAGCTAGACTCAAGACCACTAGGCGACTTATCAACTGCAACGCTTAATCTTTCCCTACCATCTACCATCATTGTTCCATCAGTACTCAAAAGAAAGAAAGAGACCTTTGCATCCTTCTGAGAGATCAACCAATCTACTAGTTTTAAAATTTTGGAGTATATAAACTCAAAACCTAGCCAGCAATCGAACAACAAGCCAATGCCAGCCAAATAGTTTAGACAAATAGTTTAAACTTGCCAACAAAAAAAACTAGCCAATCATCTCAAAATGAAGTTCATCGTTCTTTCAGCTGCACTTTTGGCCGTAGCCACTGCCCTGCCCACCAGCCTCCTGCCCGGTGGTCGTCACTCCATCGACGTGAACAGTCCGCAGCTGGTGGACGCCCTGGAGCACGTCCAGGAGGACCTGAACGCCCGTCTCAACTCGATGTACTACCACAAAATTGTCAAGATCATCGCCGCCCAGTCGCAGGTGGTCGCCGGAGTGATGTACCACGTTGACTTTGAGTTTGCCCAAACTCAATGTCTCAAGTCGAAGGTGACCAAAGAAACACGCGCCCAGTGCACTGAGGTCTCCCACGTGCAGCTGTGCCATGCGAAGATTCTTTCCCAGCCATGGCTGCACCTGGTCCGCACTGAGGAGTTCCACTGCTCGCCAAAGCAGACTGCTGAATTCTACGCTGACGTTGCCGGTGGCCGCCACCAAATCGACGTTCACGAGGCGCACCTGCAGGAGGCCATCCTCGAGGCGGAGGCTAAGATCAACGCGCAGACGAGCTCGCTCAGCTTCCACAAGATCATCAAGGTGCTGACGGCCGAGGCGCAGGTAGTCTCCGGAATGCTGTACTTTGTTAAGTTTGAGCTGGCCAACACACAGTGCCTCAAGGAGAAGGTGCTGACGAAGGAGGGCCGAGCCGCCTGCGACGCCTACACCAACGTTCAGCTCTGTGAGGCGACCATTCACTCGCAGCCGTGGCTGAAGGTGCTCGAGGTGAGCAACTTGAAGTGCTCTGCAAAAAACCAGACGACGACCTCCAGTGTCGAGCAGCAGCCGAAGGAGCAAGTCGGCGGCCTGCAGCCAGTGGACGTGCACAGTCCGCGATTGCTCGAAGCGCTGGAGCACGTCACCGAGGACCTGAACGCCCGTTTCACCAGCTCGCCGTACTACCACCGCATTGGCCGCGTACTTTCCGCCCAGGCACAGGTCGTTTCCGGCGTTCTCTTCCACGTTCAGTTTGAGTTCTCCCCCACAAAGTGCCTCAAGTCGGAGGTGACCGACAAGAAGAAGGCCGCCCAGTGCAGTGCTGAGGTGACCGGTCTGGAGATTTGCAATGCGAAGATCCTCACCCAGCCGTGGATTCACTACATTCACGCTGAGGAGTTTCACTGCCTGGCCAAGCCGCTCAGTTCCGCTCAGTTCTACTCTGAGGTGGTGGTCGGCGGCCGAACCAAACTGGACGTCCACGATGCTCACCTGATAGCGATGGTCGACCAGGCCGAGGTGAAGATCAACGCTCAGCTCAACTCGCCGTTCTACCACAAAATTGTCAAGATCACCTCTGCCGAGTCCCAGGTGGTTTCCGGAGTGATGTATTTTATTGATTTTGAAGCTTCCGCCACGCAGTGTCTGAAGGAGAAGGTACAGACCAAGGAGGACCGTGCCCTTTGTGTCATTTCTGCCAGTGTTCAGGTGTGCCAGGTGCACATTCTTTCTCAATCCTGGCGAAACGTTCTTGATGTGACTAGTCTCAAATGCACTGCTAAGACGTTGTAAAGATTGCACACCATCACCATCACTACTAAATTACTATTCCGCATACAGTTAAATAAACATTTTATTGTATTTGTTGTTTTAAATTAAACAAACAAATGTTTGTTACCAGTCAATTGAATGTTGATTATTTTTGGAATAAAATTGCTTATACCAACGGCGAAATTTAACCAACGACTTCTCTGATTTAGTAGCTAATGGCTTGCATATGTAGGCCTTTCTGTTCCATATTAGGATGTCACGTTCAAGCTGAAAAATAAAACAATAATGTTGTAATCTAATTTTGCATTTAAATTGACTTACCATTTTGGCCTCTCCGAAAAGGAGAAATTTGCCGAGAAAATATCCCAAAATGCCCCTTTCCGTATAGACATAAGAAGTGACTACATTTTTCATCGGTGATTGAGGCGTCACAAATTGCATAAAAGCGCCCTTTAGTTGACAAAAACTGGTTTGAATCATCAGCTCAATATAGGCCGGTCCGACTTGGCTAATGTCCAAGTTCATTGTGAGGACATTGCGACCAAGCAGTTTATTGTAATTGACCATTTTAATAAAAGATCGATGACTGTTCGGTGCCTCGCCAGCTTCCCAGTGAACTTTCCACTGATGTTCAATTACTCGACCCTTAAGTTTGCTTAGAAACTCCAAATTTGAACCGATGATTGGTGCAGCGTGCACCTCGGGCAGATGTGCCAAATCAGCGCCATTTTCAATTGTTTCCTACAAAATCCAAACTATTTAAACCTGAATGATGTAAAAAGTGTATACCTGAATGTGAGAATGAACAGTGTACAAAGTGTGACCTCGATAAGCCCACTCTTTGTTTGCAATTTCTGGAACATTTTCCGGTTTCCAAGACGGTGCATCTCCATCAGCGTGGTGCCAAACAAAGATAAAATTGTTAACCTCAATACTTTCCCAGAGTTTAACCTTAGCGTTGATTGGTGCTGCAAAAGAAGCGTTTTATGAAGCTTAACAGTAGTAGGCCAAAGCAGTTACCAGCATACCTTCTTCATAGGGAATATCAGTACAGGCCCCGTCAGTCATTCGAAAAGACCAACCATGAAATGGACACCTAATGCAGTCCTCCTTGCAGTCATTCTGCTGAACTGTTCCACCAACGGCAAAATTGGCTCCTAAATGCGGACAAAAAGCGTCCAGCACGTAAACTTGCCCGCTGGAGCCTCGTACAACGGCTAACTCAACGCCAAAACAAAGCACTGATTTGATCTGATTAGCAGAAATGGCCAACGATTCGAGAATGGGAATCCAGCCATTTGGGAAATGAGGCGGCAAAACTTGACCTGGTATTTGACGGGCAGAACTGGGCACTTCCACTGGGTAGTCCTGTGATATTAAACTTAATAATCAAAACTCGTAACTTTAGCAAAAATAGATGTACTCACAATAACTACTTCCGTAAATGTAACTGTTTTATAAATTACAAAAATTGTAATTAAAACAAAAAAAATTGTGATTGGCTGGTTTAGTATAAACTCCCAAAGCCATTGTTGCAAAGTATTTGGGGCAATCATTTCAGTTTTCAGCAATTTTCATTATGTTTTTGAGTTCAAAACTCTACTAAATTTGAACTTTCGTTAATGACACTTTTGCATTAGTAAATTTGCACTTTTTATTGCACAACTTGCCATGAATAAGTGACAAACTTGTTTGTAATTGCTAAATCATGATTATCAATCGGATTAAATTAACATTACAAGATAGCAGTCTCAGTTTGCTTTAAAAGGTGCAAAGTTATTACAACAATTTTTGACCAGTAGTCAGTTTGTTGTTTTTGTAAATTTCAGATTTTATTTATATACCTATACGTCACTACCGCCACTATTTCCGATTAAACGTAATAAGCATTTCAAAGATAAAAATGTTTTGAAAGTGCCAACTTTCAAACAATATTTTGACAAAACTGATAAAGTACAATTAATTCATATTGACTTTTACTAATAATACTTTGTTTTGCAATCAATTGACTAAACGATATGAATAAAAATCAAATACCTTTTTGAAATTCATGCGTTCACTATCACGTGATATAAAATGACGACTTTTAAGGCGAAAGTTCATATAAAGTGCACGTTTATAGTTTAAATCTTAAAAATAGCCACAAAAACATGTTTTCACTTAGGAAAAATACACATATAAAAAAAATTTAAGTTGAAAAATTTTACTAATGTTGTGTAAAAAAAGTTGGTTTTTTTGGATTACCATTGATGAACTTATATTTTAGCTAATGTAATAGTTAAAAAAACGTTTCCAATGTTGAACACCAGTTAAAAGTGGTCACTACTGGCTATCGTCTAAAACAGCGAAATCAGTTGATCAAGGATGAAAAAGTATTTAAAACAGAAGAGAAACTAGACACTAAAAAAGGAAGTAAAGAGTTTTCACTTGTGACTTAAGCTTGATTGTGGCAAGCTTGTAAAACCGGTGAAAGTTTTGTACTGGTGTATACCAGTGCCTCACGGAAATGTGTACAAAGTTTTTAGCGGTTTTTATAAAAATCAAAAGTATTTTATCTGATGAGTGCTGTTACAGTTTCACCACTAATGAGAACATTATTTATAAGTCAAAGCAATCATACTGACTAAGTTTATGTGTTAATAATTATTGATGCTTAAAAAATAAATACAAAAATGAACAACACAAAAAACTGTGTGCAATTTAGAGCGTACTAAAATTATCGTTGGCAAAGTAATATGCTGATTAATCAAACTAATCACAGTAAAAATTGTTACAAAAGCGAAAAACGACAAGGCATCTATTTAGAGCTACAAAATTTTGGCTATTAAGTGAAAATGACAAAATTAAAAGTTAGCTTTTTCAGTGACAAAATACATTTAGAGCAGGTTCATATGATGAACACAAACTAAAAAATTAAGGTTTTGAAATAGTGATTTGGGGTGTTCAGCAACAAACAAATCACAAGAAAGCTCCAGTTTTGTTTGAACTTATCAGTTGGATCACTTTTGGCAGTCAAACTGATTCAACTGCAACAGCTGTTGCCGCCGTCGACACCAATCTAGTGCCTCCCTCCTCAAGGTGACTAGTGCCCACGTCCATGGGCGACTCCAGGAGTTCCGGATTCAGGTTCTCCTTTTCAGTTTCCGCTTCATCGGCTTCTTCCGTTTCCATAAACGTGGGGAGGGGCAGAGCAGTCCCTTCATCAGTGTTTTCCGCTTCACCGCCACCAACAGCAGCAGCATCTGCAGAACTACTGTGCTCAACAACAGCAGAAAACACCGTCGCAGAAGCAGAGGAGGCCAACTCGACTACCTTCAGCGCCTCCATCAGCGCCTCCGTCGTCGACACCAGATTGGCAGTGGCGTCCAGCGGGGGCGTGGCGCCCGGCAACGAGCCGTACCGTTTTGAGATTTGATAGAGCTCCAGCAGCGTCTCGTGCTCGACGACCAGTTCGTGAAGGAGCTGCCGTTGCGCGAGAATCCGCTCCTCAGAGCTGGGGCCGATGGAGCGCTCGAAACGGCCCTTCATCTCCTGCAGTCGATTGGTGAGCGCAATTGTCGCCGCCTGCTGCTCCATCCGCTCTGGCGACTCGTGGTGGGCGAGGATGGTGGCGGCGCAGGCCTCAGCCTGCGCCAGCAACGCCATCATCTGCCCGCGGTACTTTGACATGATCAGCTCCAGGGCGAACTGGTACTCCTGCAGCTGCTGCTTCAGCAGGTGGTTCTCCCGTTTGAGCGCCTTCACCCGCGGCGACTCCCGCTGAAGGGCGGCCATCACCAGCGAGCGAGGTTTGCAGGTGGAGGTGGAGCCGGGGACGAGCAGGCCCGAAGTGGTGGATGCGGAAGTGGATGCAGCGGCGGCGGCGGCAGCGGCAGAGGTTGCAGCAGCACTGGATTTCTGTGCCGCAATAGCTGACTGTTGTTCCTGTTCGAGCAGTGAGGCGATCATCACCTTTGGATCGGTGATCACTGCAGTGGCATTTGCTGGTGGTGGTGGTGGTGCTGATGACGAGACTGATGATGGCTTTTCATTAGTTCTGCCACTGTTTGCCGACGACTTGTTCTGCTCTGGTGGTGCAGTGGCGCCGGCAAAGTTGGCCATCTGCTGGATGACTCCTTCGGCGTTCATGGCGTTCTTCTCGTACGACTTGGACAGCTGCTTGGCATTCTGTATCAGCGACTGAATGCTCAGCATGGTGAAAAGTGAGATGGAAAAAGAGAAAGGGAAGGTGATACAGTGAATGGCTGTTTAGAATACTGGGATTACATTGGGTAACGGTAGTAGAGCACAGTGGAAATTAGAGCAAAAGGACAAAAGTTGAAGACAAAGAAAGGGGTTTTACATAGTTAGAGTGAGTAAAAAAGGTAAATTATGTTTGAAAGCAAGCGAAGGGGGGGGGGCTGTGATTTAAAGACAAAATTGGTTTGGCATATAATAGTGAGCAATTGGTGACTAGATAAACAACGGAAAATAATGAACTTTTTCAATTTTGTGTCTATGTGGCTGACAAAAGTTCAAAGGTGCGCCTAAATGTAACCTAAGATTTCAGTTGTGACAACACACAAGTCACTAGTGAGGCCACCACCAAACTCAGGGCTCCGATCACCAGCATTCACATTGATCGAGATTGAGAAACTCACTTGAGATTGATCTAAAAAGTCAGAAAACGGAAAATTAGCACGTTGTGAAACGGTAAAAAATCAAAACAAATACAAACAATGACAGTTTACCAGGTAGACAATTGTCATTTAAAGAGCAGTAAATAAACTTGAAATATTGTTTAAAGTAGGTTCAAGATGCAAATTACGCCTGAAATTGATGGTAAAAAACAGTTGTTGTTTTTGTACATTCAGGGCGGCCACTGCTGCTGCTGCTGCTGAGGCAGAGTGAGCGTAAACAACAAGCCCTGCAGAGTTACAGCTCAGCAGCGTAAGTGCAGAGGCTAGTGAGAAGGCGACAGCAGTGGCAACGGCGGNCGCCAATAACTGCAAATTGATTGTGCCTCTCTGCCTGTGCAAAGGCTGCCGCCGCTGTGTGCCTGCCAGGCCATCTGCAGGTTTGATTTCACACTGTTTTTGGCCGTTTCGCATTTAGCTATTTTCTTGGCACGCCAAAAATGTGGATGATTCTTCGAATGTTTGATCAAAAATTTGGTTTATTCAAAACACTTGAAATCATTGGGTTTTAAAAGTTTTTATTGTAGTTTTATGTTTCTAAATACATCAGTTACGACAATGTTATGTTTGACAAGATAGATTTATCTAAACTCAACATGAAATATAGTTTGAAATAATAAAATACATTTTGCTGATTGATTTGAAAAGTATGCATTGAATGTTTAAATATCTTGACGAGATGTGTCCTCGCGAGTTTGCTCAGGAATGTTAGTGTGTCCAATAGGTAGTGTGTGTGGGTGTGGGTGATGCTTTGGTTATTTAATAAAATAATGCTTTGTGGTGTTTCAAAAATAAAGTTTTCTTCCCAGTTCAGCTACTCAAATCAGATAAATAAAAAATAAAGTAATCAGAAATCATGAGGGTGCGCATACTAAATCTTGAACAGTGAATATAATGAGAAAAATAAAACTTTAAACAAGGAAACCTAGTTCCTCATCGTCATCGTTTACCTGTCGCTACACTACATTTACCCACACTGATCACTAATCTACCACAACTCCTTATCAACCAGCTCACTTTTAACCACTTTCTCTTCTCTTTACAAAGTATCGCTCCAGTAGCGGCGGAGAAATTCATTCCGTTTCTGCTGAATGAGCGGGGCGGTACCCGCTGGCAGATCAATTCGCTCTCGCTGGCTGTTCCAGGTAAGCAGGTCCTGCAGGTAGAAGTCAGCGCCGTCAAAGTGGAGCTCCGCCATGCGGCGGTACCCGGGGAGGAGGGGCACCTTGCGCAGCTGACTGTGCGCCGGACGGCGGTCCACCAGAATGGCGAACTCAAAGCCGGGCAGGTAGAAGGCAATGGAGAGGGCGTAGCAGTCGGCGATCGGGTAGAAGTAGGCCGGCGGGCCGTCGTTCAGCTGAATGTGCGCCTGGGGGCCGATCCAGAAGAAGCGAGGGTCGCCGTAGCTGTTCCAGTGCGCCTCAGTTTCGCCCCCAGTCAGAATCTTCCTCTCTGACGATTTTTCTTTCTCGCATCCTAGTTTTACCTTATCCTCAGCAGGCTCAGCAGTTGAAGTGGATGGTCGAGGATTGACAGCAGTGTCAGCAGTGCTTGAGTTTGCTGCATCAGTGTGCTCCCGTGCTTGTTTGTCTCCACTGGCCTCCTTGCAGTTGCACTTGCCTGCTTTGCCAGTACGGACTGTTTGAGATAAGGAAAACAAGGAGTGTTAGTTAGTGAGTTTTTGGTAAAAGTTGCAAACTTTGTTGCAAACCGTCGCAGTGGGTCAGATGAAGTCGAATGCCATCGGGCAGTGTGTCGGCGACGCGTTTTTCCAGCGACTCAATGTAGGCCTGCTCCAGTGGATCGTCGTCCACACGAAGGAAAATGTAGACGCGCTCGTAGTTGGTGGGATTGAGAAAACTTGGTGGAAAGAGACACTTGGACATGGCGATCTACGGTTTAATGAGATAACAATTAGCAAGTACACTATTAAACTCAGCCATTGACAATGATTGACAACTGACAACAAAATAACTTAAAACAGACATAATCAGAGTAAGCGTTACAATTTTTAGTTTAACGCCACAACTTGTTTGTGCGTTTAAAAAATCTTAATAACAGACAAACAAGCTTACCAAATCGAAATTCAAGTCAGTCGTTCAGCAGTTGTACAATGTGTGAATCAACAATCTTGTTGATTTCCGTTCTAGAAATGATTCGGCAGGCAGCCCTACAAATTGCTTTTAAGTGTTGAATCTACCCACTTGCGTTGTGCACATTCACGAGCAGACAACACTCAATTCAGCACTTTGATTTGCCACTTTACTCACACATCGCCCAAAACACACACAAGGGAAATGCTGCTGCTTCTCCTGCTGTGGTTGCTGCAACAACTGTCGCTTGCATTCCCTCTCTGACGACCAAACCTTCTTCACCAACCTGAAACCTGAAAGGTTCACCCGAAATGGGCAGTGCCAAGCGGTGCTATTGCACACACCAACGCATTCTGACTAGGCCTGACGTTGACAGAGCGCAAAAACATGCGCCACCACTCCTTCTTTTCGACAGTTTTGGCAGTGTACAAATTTCTATGTACGGCGGTTTTTCAACATCAGCAATCTAGAAATGGCAGTAGCCAATGGTCCAATACTCACAATCTAGATTATGTGCCACTGTTGTCCACTTTTGGGCATTGCAGACATTCAGAGAAAAGATTTGGCTTCTTTTTTTGCTAGCACACACACACACACACATCATTGCTGAGGCAAATTTTGATTAAAAGAAAAACTCTAAAGTGGCTTCACCAATTACCTAACGTTATTTCCGCTGCACCTTGGTGCACTTTAGGCATCGTTTCCACTTTCTAAAATTTGTTTTTTGAAAGAAAGTGTTGGAAAAACACTCTCACGGCTCAAATTAAACAGTAGTTTGTTTACTTCAATTTTAGTAGGACGCACTACAGGGAGCAATCATTTGACGCTCACATGAAAGTTTTTTTAAGGAAAATGGAAATGCGATCTAAACAAAAAACAACGAAAAGACATTTTTGTACAAAAAATTTTGTTTTGTTTTTTAAATTATTTAGAATTAACATATCTAACTTTCTAATTAACTTATAACCTTTTGTTTTAACTAAACGCATTGTTTGACAAAGAAAATTTAACCAAAAAACAAATTTTTATAAAATTAAAACAAATGTACATTTTTTAAAATTTAGACTGGTCAAACACCAAAACCACTTGATGGGAACGGATTTTATTGAGTTTAACTGAAAATAAAATTGCAAATACAGTAATATCATGATTTCATTTAAATCCAAATAAACTGTCATTGCAAAAAGCATTTTACACTCTGCTTTTTGCTTTTTGCGTTTTTGCTTTTTTGCGTAAAGCTTAAAAACTAAATTAGATCCAACTATGTGACACAACATGGAATGTTCATTTAAAAGTTTGTAATGTTATTAACAGTAATAGATTTTACTAATCAAATCTACGTGGTAGATAATCAAAGTTTGTGATGAATGAAACGGAATTTATAAATCTGAATATGGCCTGACAGGCAACAGAAATGGATGCAAGAGAAAACGACAAAAAAAGAAAAAATAAATTGACAGTTCTGCAAACTGATAACTGCTAATGCTTTTTACTGTTTTACCGCTCATCAAATGTCCATGCTGAATTCTACAGTCTGCTGGTTATAATTTTTATTTCCTTCAGTTGTCATCGCCGGCGAAGAACACCTGACTCACCTGATTACGCACACGGGCAAAGTCAGTGGATCCAATGGAGGTCGGCTCTCGCGGCATCAGCGGCACCAGCCGCCCACCCAGGCCGCTGCCAAAGTTCCAAGAGAACTTGCGCAGCTGCCAAACGGGAACTGCCTGCCGTCGCTGTTGCTGCTGCTGTTGATCCTCCTCCTCAAGTTGATCCATTCCAAAGAGGGCTCGCAGACGACGGTACAGCCAGCGAAAGGGATTTCCATTGCAATGATCGAAACAGCCAGTCAGCGAAAGTCCGCCAATGCTGGGAGCCAAGCCAGAGTTCNCGTCGCTGTTGCTGCTGCTGTTGATCCTCCTCCTCAAGTTGATCCATTCCAAAGAGGGCTCGCAGACGACGGTACAGCCAGCGAAAGGGATTTCCATTGCAATGATCGAAACAGCCAGTCAGCGAAAGTCCGCCAATGCTGGGAGCCAAGCCAGAGTTCAGCGCAGTGCTCTCCGTGGCAATGCTGCCGTTGTTGTTGTTGTTGTTGTTGTTGTTGTCGTCGTCTGGCTTCAGGCAGGCACAGCAAAAGAGCGGGTCCACTTCAGAAGAGTTTTCATCGTAGTCGTCGTCGTCGTCGTCATTGCCACCCTCATTTTTTCCAGTTGAGTTGCCCTCCAGTCCCTTCAATTTGTTTTTTTCTTCCTCCTCTTTTTTGCCTTCTTCCTTGTCCTCCTTTTCATTTCCGGCCATGTTCTTAATGTCTTGAAGACTGTTCGACAAAAGACGAGCAGCAGCCTGAGCAGACTTGCTTAGATTGTCCACCTTGCCCTTCCAGGTGTCGAGGAGCATCTTTTGCATGACGCTCTCGTTGATC